GAGTTTCTTGATGTAAATATTTTGAAAGAGCTAATGTTCAGCTAGAAATGCCTTCATAATCATTTGACCCTAAAAGAAGTAAAAGTAAACTAATCAGAGTTAAACTACTGATATCAAAAGCTAACATTTAAGTAAATGTGTAAAACTCTTTTGTCTATGTGCCTCAAGAAATACAAATAACCTGTGAGGAAAAAAGGTATAAGTATTATTCTTTAAGATAAGAAGAGAAAGTTTAATTTATTATCTAATGAAACAGAATCAAGATTGCTATCTAGTTTAGTCTGTTTGGTACTAGATTCTGCTCAGCAGCAATTCTAGTTATCGATCCTGTAAGTTATTTGTTATTTATGTATTATGGGTATAATTCAGAACTGCATGTTAGAGAAGCCATAAAGATGAATAAAGTCCCTACACTAAAGGAAGCTACACTACACCAGGTTATCTAAGGTGATGCACCCGCAGCTGTAATACATGACAGAATATGCCAGTTTCCATAAAAGACACAGAGTTCTCTTAATAAGTATGAAGAAGTGGCAGGCAAGATTCTCAACTGAGAGATTGGGAGCACTTCCCACAGGCAGGTATGGACTGTATAGGAGGGCCAATAATGACAAAGGCATGTAGGTAGGAAAGCACATGAGAGGTTCACAGAATAGTTGGCCAACTTAGATTTTTGCGAGATTGTGGAATGCATAAGGGGAGTGGTAGAAGGAAAGGGTAGAAAGAGTGATTTGGCCATGCCTAGGAGTGTGCACTTCATTCTTGCAGAAATGGGAGCTTTGGCAATAACACGTTAGAGGCTTACGAAACCTTAGCCATCAACTCCTTTATTATGGAGACAAGGAAACTGAACCTCAGAAAGGTTAAGTGGCTTGAAGAGAAACACAAAATTCACAGATATAGGTCAAGAACTAAATTCCTGCCTCCTAGGAATGAGAGGATAAGATATATGATTTAGGAAAATTATTTTAGGAGCAATGTGCAGCATGAACTAGAGAGAAAAGAAATTACTTATAAAGTGAAAAGAAATGAGATATAGTGCAATTTAGAATTCTATTACTAAGATGCCAACATAATGTGTTTTAAGAATCTTACTCTGATAAGCCAGACTGAAATGTTAACTTGGCTACAGAAAAATCTCCTCCCCTGGCTATACGACTTCACTGAAGGAGACACCAAAAAATTAGTTTTTGTGCCAACCACATCAGTAACATATACTGCCACCTGTGCCAGCCAGTTCAACTCTTCATAGAGAAGGGTGAATCATGAATGTCAGAGCTCATTTCAACAACTGTGAATGGGAAAAACAGTTTTTCAAAGACAGTAATGTTCACTGAAACCTTTGTTCAAATGTCATTTCTATAATAACTAAGAGTAAAATTTTCCTAAGAGTCTACATTTCATTGTGTTACCTACACAATAATTTAAGCTTATATACAATGCTATGGAAAGCAGCCTCATTATTTTATACCTTGTAATAATTACTAGCAGGACCATCCCAAGAAATGCCAAATTGAATCTATTATACCTAAAATAAAAGAGCATAGCACAATACTTGTCCTCTTTGATGATTACCTTAAAAGGTCTAGATGGAGCTCTATTTTCCTTTAATACACTGCCTGGATCAATCATCCAAGAAATTATCTTAATATTTTCTGTATCTATATTTTCTAATGACACTTGTATTATACTTTTACAGTGCTGTCACACCTATTATCTCAATTTTTGCTGGGTTTAAATACTTTATCTATGTCTTGCCATCTAGCTAAATGGCACAATTTAAGATTATTATACTTTGAAGCATTCATTATTTTGAATTGAAAGAAGGTTAACGTATCTATAACACTGGTCTAAATTTTAAGGGAATTTTTTCCCCTTTAAAAAATTACTTTTGTCCTCTTTCTTAAGCAGCACATTTCATTACTAAAGTTTTATGAAGGCACAAACTGTGACAATGTGTCCCTCAGAGTGCCCATACCACATAGGTGTCAAAGACTTTGCTTAATGACATGAGCAGTGACAACAGGTCAACTTTGGATGCAACTGCGTGATGCAAAGATCACCAGGGCTGATGTGGGCTATCAGGATGCCTAAGCAAATCCACTGTGCAGGCTTGTCTTTTCTCTGCTGGCCTGTTAGATGTTAATATTCACCAGTCTTCAGCCACAGAATTTCCCTTCACACTCTACGCACCCACCTGTGCAAAACCATCCACTCCCATGGTCTTAACTCCTATTATGTATGTGGATCACACTTAAATAGTTGTCTTTGACTCCGACTTCCTTCCTAAGCTATAAATTATATCTCTCACTGTCTATTAGATATTTCCATTCCTATGTCTGACTAACCTCAACATGACAAGCTCCAAATTGAAATTCATCATCATCCTTCAATTCCTGCTATTTGTGAGGTGTTGCCCATGTCAGTAAATAGCCTCACCCAAATGCCTAATAGTGAAACCCAGGTAAACCTCATTTCCTCATTTACCCACCCACAGCGAATCAATCACCAATTCCTAGTGATTCTACCACCAAAAATATATCTCCAACCTATCCACTTTTCTCCTTACCTACTGAGACTACACCTTAGTCAGGCATCATAACTCGCCAGAATTATTCCTAACTGCTCACTATGCCTCAAAACTAGCTCCCCTCCAATCTACTGTATTGCCAGAATGATCTTTCCAAAATGTGAACCTACTTAAAAACCCTTAAATGGCTTCCTACCATCCTTAGGATAATGCCAAACTCCTTGTCATGGTTTACAAGGTCCTTCAAGAGCTGGAAACTTCCTGGTAAGTTATACTATAGCATGGCAAAATGAATAAGCACACAGTAGAGAGAAGTCAGACTGACTTGTCACTTATGAGCTATCTCATAATGTACAAGTTATTTGATTTCTCTGTCCCTCCATTTCCTGATCTGCAAAATGGGAACATTGATACCTATTGTACAGTGTGGTTGTGGATATTAAATGAGACAAAATACAATGTTCGACACAGTATCTGACACATGTGACACACAGTAAATGCTTAGTAAATATTAGCTACTGTTACTATCTCTTTAGTTAATTTCTCACGTCTCTCCCATTTGTATTCTGAGTTCCATCCACAGCAAACAACTTTCATTTCCTCTTCTCACATATTTCTTCTTCCTTTACATATCCCACAATTCTTTAAGTCTCATCCTAAATGGCACATCCTTTGGCAAGTCCTTCTGGCCTGTCCTGCACCCTGTTTGGTGCTCTTAACTATGTGCTTTGCAAGGTCATATATTTTCCTTGCCATAGCACTTATCCCACTTTCTGTAAATTTCTCTCTCTGCACTGCTAAATTTTAAGTTCTGTATGAATCTAATTTAGTCTATCTTGCTCACCACTGTATTCCCAATGCTTAGTACAGTGCCTGGCACAGAGTAGGTATTTAATAAGAGTGTACATTTCCTCTCTCACAGCTCCAGATGCGCTTTTCCCCAAACTGCAGTTAGTAGAAAAGCATAGTCTTCCCATAACAGCTGTGCTTAGAATAAGGTTCAGAAAACGCTGCCACCGAACAAAAAACCTGATCAAGTAACACTGGGAAGGACAGGATGAAACAATGTTAGAGCTTCCGAACCATATTACTTCCCAGAATCTTTTCTATCCTTAAAAGCATTGTGAATTTCCAAGTTGGAGGGTGAGGGTGTACATTTCTCAAACTATCTCCCGCAATCAGTGTTCTGTGGAACACATCGCCACCAAACTGATTTAAGGAGATGCGCTCTCTCCTACTAGAACTTCAAGTAAAAGCTGGTAGTTGTGAATGAAGAAATCTCTAAAGTATAATACTCATTTTTACCGTTTTTAGATCAGTAACGTCTGGCCACGGAATTTGAGAGACAGAAGGAATCTTAGACACAGTTCAACAAAGCTCCTTCTTTTACAGATAAGGAAACTGAGGCCCAGGCGGCAAAGCGACCGGATGAAGGCCACACAGTAGCTGCATACAACAGGAAGAGCTGGAAGTAGAACCCCTGACGCCCGTTTTGTCCCAGCGACTTCCAGTACAAACAGTGCCTCTGACTACCTGGGTCTGCCAAGTGTTCCCACTTCAAATTTTATTTTGAAGCCACACCAAAGTTAAGGTCAGTTTTTCCTGGCCGCCCATTCTCTTAGGCCTGCAATTACTGCCCCTCACTCCTCGCTCCCTTTCACCATACACTTTCCCGGTAAACCCGTGCAGTTGGGGCTTGGCTGCGGGCGCGGGAGACAGTTTCTTTCTTTCCTTCAGAATTTATTTTTGGAGTGTGAACTTTTTCATGTAAACCAAACAAAATTGTTAATTTTACGGCCTCCGCCTAAATCCCCAGGGGTGCTACTCCCAGCCCCACCGCACCCTTATCTGCTTTACCCTACCAGCTCCCTCCCTAGCTCAGATGGGGGCCCTGCTGTTGGTCTTCACCTGGGACTGCCATGACGGTGGTAAGAGAGGTCGCTGGAGCCTTCGCCTTTCGAGAACGGGTTTGCTTCCTGCCGGCTGCGCGGACAACACACAGCCAAAGCGGCCTTTTTTTCCCACCCGCTATGGGGCACCTTCGCTATGGTCCGGGAAGGCCCTGTAAGCCTCTAGCAATAGCAGAACCAAGTAGAGGCGGATGCAGTTTCCGGACGACTCATATTGCAAACTGCACATGGTCGGAACCATTACTGACAGATTCGGGGTGAGTGGGACCTGCACATGCGAGTATCTAGTAAACACCACCAATATTTACAAATTATCCCTTTTGATATTGTGAAATATTGTAATACAAATTACATTAAGCTATAGGAACTTTATAATATTTTCTCGTTCTCTAGAGCACATTGGAATCCCCCTTTTCAGGGTTAGCGGTGCTCGGGTCCGGGAGCAACATGGCGGCGTCCGTGAGGGGCTGGCTAGCTTTGCGCAAAGGTAGCGTTTAGTGTTGCTGTCTCGCATGATATTGAGCGGCTGAAGCTTTCCTGGACCACCTAACTTAAGGAAGAGTGTAGTGGTAGGCGGACAGCTTTAGTGACCGGCTATCCGCTCTCATCCCCCAAAAGGAGCAGAGTCCTGAGCACTGATCAAGATGAGCAACATCTACATCCAGGAGCCTCCCACGAATGGGAAGGTGAGAGCCTCACCTAGGGAACCGGGGCTCCCCAAAGTGAGATCTCCCGGGAGGGCGGGGGGGGGGTGTGTTCAGGGATCTTAGAGTAGGAAGAAATCATAAGAAGTGTTCCCCTTATCTCTCTGCCAATGGACAGTGTTGCATCGAAAACCCTGAAATTGGCACTTCTCAGCATGTTCTTGAAAAAGTCCTCAAGTGGAGATTTCTCTGTGAACCTTCTGGTCCTATTTTCTGCCTTAACCCAACTCATGCAGACGTTTTCTAGAGTCTTAGGTTTTTAAAAGCACATTTTCGAGTTTGACATATTTTTGCTTAACTTGAAGGTCGTTCATTCTCCATTTCTTGTATAATCATTCATTGAACGCCTTCTAGGCACCGGGCACTGTACTAGGCACTGAGAATACAAAGATGGATCGGTAAGGTGTAGTTGTTGCCCTGGAAGAGCATACAGTTAGTTAAGGATACAAGCAGGTAAAGAAAACCCTTGTGATATGTCTGGAGCATGCAGTCGTGGGAACGGGAACATATTGCTATGGCAGTACTGAGGAGCGAAAAACTGGGAAACTTGGGAAAAGCCTCATGGAGGAGGTATCTTTTGAGCTGGTCTTAAAACATGAGACGATTATCAGAGGAAGTGGGAAATGGGGAATATTACCACATTACAATGGGAGAATGATTCTCTGATTGATTTGATGGCCAATGTATGTCAATTCCTGTCCAATGTATTTGTATACAATATGAGGCAGAGGAGTCAATAGTGGAATAAGTGTCACATGATTCTTGAACTGAGACCTAGTTTATATCACATATGAAATGTAATGAACCAGCATAATGGAGAAAAATAGTGGGATTGAAAGTATCCAGTTGAATCTGAATAAAGTAAATTTATATAAAATACAATTGTTTGCATGATTGCATCATAAATTATTTACACAATCTTTTATTTATTGACATTTGGTAATGTAGTAAGGGCAATTTGAAAGCAAAAACAAAAATGCTGTTATTCCCAGCAAAAATTCTGGTGGGTATTTTGGGAAGATCAATTCTTCCAATTTTTTTGTTTGAATTTTTCCTGGGCATTGCAGCATCTCCATCTCACCCTCTACCCTTACTCTATGTCAGTGTGAAAATCCAAAATACCTACCTCCTCATATTTCCTAATATTTCTTGATGTTGATAAACACTGAAAGAGATTGAAAAGGTTGCGCATCCTTCCAGGCAGGGCCTTCACACTTGCTGCTTTTCTCTCTAGTGTGCTGTTTTACCTGTTCAAATGCCAACCTTAGCAAAGAAGCCTTTCTTATCTACTTTCTATGAAATAGCAAATCTCAATCATGTCTTGCATCTCAGCAATCTCTGGCCCCTTTAACCTTTTTAGTTTTTTCTATAACATTTATTTATTTATTTGTTTGTTTGTTTATTAATTATGGTATCCTCCTCTTTTCCTTCCCACTATAAAATGCAAACATCTAGAACAGTGCTAGACTCATAGTTGAAGGAGTTCAAATGTGCAGTGAATGAATAAATGGATGGATGAGCTAATGCTATATTTCTCTTAGCTTTAGAGAAGTAGTTAGCATCAGTGTGTTTGAGATTATACTGCTGCTGGTCAAGGGCAGACTTAGTTGCTTTACTCTAGAGGAAGATTTGACATGATCATACAAAGGAAAAGCTTTAACATTCCTGAATAGATCATTCATTCAGCAAGTATTTATTGAGCACCTAGCACATGCCAGGCTCTATGCTAGGTTTTATGGTTACAATGGAAAGAAAACCCAGCATTATCCCCATTATCATGGAGTCAGTTGAGTGAAATATATTGATGAAATAATCATGTGAATATTAATAAATATATAATTGTAAAATGTGATGAACACTGTCTTATGAACAGAAATAGGCTGAAGGAGAATATAAGGCAGGGCCCAAGTTTTCCTACAAAAACAGTTTGGGACTTTTTCTAACTAAAAGCTGAAGCTTCAGAGTTCTGTACTATAGAGAGCCTGGCAAGAATTTTGGCCTGGAAAGAATTTAAAACAGATGTAATAACAAATCTGTTCAATGAATGTTTGTTTAGTGCCTTTACTGTGTAATTGTATGTTAGGTACTGAAATGATACAGAATTTTTCAGACTAAATGGGACAAAATTCTTCCCTTCAAAGAGCACAGTCTTAACTGGGAAGTAATTGATACATAATACCAGTGGTTGACCCCCTGGCTATTGTCCATAAATGTGCTATGTTTTGCTGTGTTATGCTATAACCCTATGTCCTGAAGATGAGGCACAGAAATGTAGCACTTGATAGAAATTTTCTTAAGCATAAAAAGGTAATCCACTGAAGATGAAATTTCTACATACTATGATCACGTAATATAAACTGCATATTTATTTTTAAGAAACATGATATTTTCAAAGTATTGTATTATTTGGGAGCTTTAATAAAAAGAGCCACCAAAGCCTGACATAGTAATGTCCAAAGGGAATGTATGGCAAACAGAGGAAGGACCCATATACCTTCTTTATTAATTCAGTAGCTTATCACTGAAAAGATTAAGAAACCTTGGTGAGCAAGGTGACCCAACCAGATATGCATTCTTTTTAGTAGGTGTAAGTTGCCTGTGGCAAAAAAAAAACCACAACAATTTTAAAAGAATAATAAGTAGAATAATGGCTATCATTTTTTGAGCTCTTTTTGTCAGGTATTAAGTCTATGTATAATAGCTCATTTTGTCCTCACAACAACCCCATGAAGATATTATCTCTGTTTTTAGATAAGGAAATTGAGTCACAGAGATGTTCCATATCCTGCCTGAGGTAATGAAGCTAGTAAGTGGAAGAGTCAGTATTTGAATTTGAGCAGCCTGACTCCAGAGCTTGTGGAGGGAGGGATGATGTGCATTAGTTTGTTGTTTGGAGCAGCAGTTTCTAAACCATTGAGCACGTACTTCAGGGGCTGTACAAAAACATCTGGTGTGTTGGGAGAAAATCACTATCTATTTGTATTTATTTTTTCCTTTATTTGTTTAAATGCAATATTTTATATATAAAAAAGATCATCTAAGTTCAGTTACTTGTTTTGTATCATGATGTAATTTTTCTTAATGACCAGTTAAATGGATGTACAGACCATGGTATCTAGATTAACTAAACCAGCCCTCACAAATTTCGTATTGACAATAATATTAATAATATCATCATAAGAAAATGGTAGAGCTGATGCCTCAGCTTTGAAAGTCTGTCAAAAAATGAGAAATTATTATGAAGACCATTTAAAATATAGATTTCTATTTATTATTGTTAATAATGAACTTTGTTTTAAATATATATCATGCCTTGAAATATTTATCAGTAAGAATATAAAGCCATTGGGATTTTCAAGACATTTACAAACTTAGTATGTAGAACAGGAAGACAGACCTCTAATTTCAAAGCAACATTATGCTACGTGGGAGAAGCCAGATACAAAGACCACATATTGTATGATTTCATTTATATGAAACGTCCAGTAGGCAAATCCATATAGATGGAAAGTAGATTAGTGGTTGCCAGAGGTTAGAGGTAGGAGGAAAATGGGGAGTGACTACTAATGGGTACAGGGTTTCTTTTTGGGGTGAGGAAATGTTCTGAGGAAATGTTCTGGAATTAGATAGTGGTGGTGGTTGCCCAACTCTGTGACTCTATTAAAGACCACTGAATTATATACTTTCAAAGGGTGAAGTATTTGGAATGTAGGTATCTTAACAAAGCTGTTATTAAAAAGGTTCATTGTACCATTAATAGAATTAAAATGGGAGCTATTTTAAAGTACTGTTTTTACATCTTTTAAAATTCTTATTTTTGTGACTCTTTAATAATACTAGAATAATATAGTACTATATGTATTTAAATATACATATTTTGTACATATGTGCTCCAATCCCTTACTTCCCCTGCACCATCCCTTTTTTTTTTTTTTTTTGCTAATAGGATGCACACTTTAAAAATTTGGAGATCATTGCTTTGGGTTTGCAATTAAGAGAAGACATGGCTAGGTTCCCTTTAACAAAAGTACCTTATTGCAAATATACAAGGTAATAATCAGGTAGGACAGGACATTGTCTTTTTAGGTATACTATACTTTTAAGATTGGGATGTACATCAGGCCTCATGGAAAATCAATCATAGTGTTGTTCCAGAAACATTCTGAGTAGAGGGAGTTATCATCCTCTCAGTTTGTATCCCAAATGTATACTTCCCAGGAGAATGAGAATCAAGCTGGGTTGGTTTGTCACCATTCAATATAGAGTATCTCTTTTGGGCATTGTTTCATACCCAGACAAGTTAAAAGACCTTGCACATGTTCAGCCAATACATGATTGCTTTTGACTTAGGCATTGTTCTCTATTCAAATCAATTGTGACCAGAGCAACCTGGGGATTTCTTTTGAGACATATGGCAGAGCCTAGAACTTGATGGACTATTTTTCCAGTATAGTATGGAATACATGGAGAACTTTGTGGAGACAGTATCACGGTATTTAAAAATCTACCAAAATGTAGATATTTTCACCTCTCCAGCCTCCATGGTCATTGAATAGTTGTAGGAGAACCGTGTAGGCAGTAAAAGCCCAAAAAGATACAATTAATTCATCAAAGTTATATAAATTTATGGCAGTATTATCTGGGCTTCTGAAACAGAAATTGAAAGACAGTTGTTTGGTGAGGGTGCACTGGCTCATGCCTGTAATCCTAGTGCTTTCAGAGGCTAACACAGGAGGATCTCTTGAGCCCAGGATTTTGAGGTTACAGTGAGCTTTGATCATGCCACTGCACTGCAGTCTAGGTGAGAATGGAGACCCTATCTCTAAGAAAAAAAAAAAGGCAGTTGTAGCAAAAACACACTGGACTGGGAGGGAGAAGATCAAAATTCTATTCCTGCTTTGGTATTAACAATCTTTCTGACTCAGGGACAATTTATGACTTCTCTGGGGCATCTGTAAAAGATGAAGATTTAATTGAATGGTTTTAAAGTTTCTTTAATTTCCAAAAAAAGTATATTTGTGTAAATTAGGGAAAGGAGTTTTGGAAAACAAAAAGTGTGACTTGTATCAATGATACTGATTTTCCATGAGAATCAGTCTCATGTTTTTAGATAGTTATATTGCATACTCTTTATTTTTAAGAGCACTCTAAAAGATTGTGATGATCACAAATTATTGACACTGATCTATTTTGGTATTTGGAGGAGAAAAAAGAAGAGGTGATACTGGAGAAATTGGACTACAGCTGTGCCACACTGTTCAAATTTAGATCCCAATATTCTTTTTGGTTATTTGTGGTTATAAATAAGACAGTTACAAGCAGTGTCCTATTGTGGGCTCAGTAGGGGTTCTGCTTGTTGCAGAATGGCTGGTTCCACCAAGGAGTATTTGCTATTATAAGCTAATGGAAAGGCTATCAAAGGATTCTATTTACTATAGAGAGTAACTTTAGGACATACTGTTTTAGTAAGTCATAGACCAAAATTAAATTAAGAACGTTCCTTTGTAAATTAGGAATAACATGATGTTAAATGAGAAGATATAGTAAAAGAATAATTTAAAAGAGTAATTGTAAAATTGTCTTATAGTGTCACAATTTAATGGGCTCGTTCTTTAATTTCTTAATTTGCTACATCAATTTTATTGGCAGTAATGCACTGGGAAACTCTCAATTATAACAAATTTGCATTTTTGGTTTTTAAACGAATGAAGTTTTTTTATAATTAAAAATGGTATATGCTATTTTTTTCTTAAATCCTAAACTTTTTCTGAAAATGGTATGTTGAAAGATGTAAATATACAGCGAGCTGTAGGGGATATTTGGCATTTTATTGAGTATAACAAAAGCCAAACAAAATTTCTAATATTTCTTTTAAAATTGAAAACTCACCAGTGAATGCTGTAAGTTGAACAATCATTCAAGTGATTATCAAGCAAAATGAAATTAATATAAAGATGTAATATTCTTTCCACAGGTTTTACTGAAAACTACAGCTGGAGATATTGACATAGAGTTGTGGTCAAAAGAAGCTCCTAAAGCTTGCAGAAATTTCATCCAGCTTTGTTTGGAAGGTAATCATAACTGTTGAATTTTATTCTGTAGGAGAAATTTTTGTTCATTTAGAAACAAATTGCAGTGTATTTTTCACAACATTGAAGACATGTTACATAGCGATAATGAGTGGTAGGTGTTGCTGTGAGTGATAGTGTTGAACAGTGTGTCAGGAAATAGAGAGAGGAGATAGAAGCTTTACCCAAAATAAATCTGTATATTTTTAACAGAGAAATTTATCTCAGCAAATACCTTGATCCCTTTTGTTCCTCTTTGCTATCTTCCATGCCTTTCTTTCATTCTCTAAATGTGGGTATTCCCTAATTGCCTCTAGATCTCTATTGTCTTCACTCTCCAAATGTTACTTACATCCAAATGACTATCAAATTTAGAACTTCAGTCATTTCTTCTTTTCTTAGCAATAATTTATACATTTAAGTGCTTAGTAGACTTTTCTGCTGGAACCTTCCACTGTCAGCTACAACTAAACCAGTATAAAACCAAGTTTACCAGTTTCTTCCCAGTCCGCCTTGACTTTTACCTATGTGTCTGTAATTTCCTCTTGCCTGATCTTTCTCACTTTCATCTTTAATTTCTTTTCACTCTTATTTATTCATGTGGTATTTGAATCCTCAGGCAGCTTGGCTTCCTAGCTACACAAAATTATTTCCCATTGCCCTAACAACATGGTTTCAGTCAATTATTATTTTTATTTCCTAAGAATTTCCTTCCCATTTCTACTTTCACACATATCCTCATCTTAGTTCTCTCTCTCTCTCTCTTGTATGCTTTTTCTTCCCTTTTTTACTGTTCAAGTCTACCCATTTTTAAATGTCTGTTCAAAATTCTACTTTCTCCACAGTCTTCCATCTAGCATTCAATGATATTATTATCATTATCTCTAGGTTTTTTTTTTTTTAGATTTAAGTCATAAAGTGACTATTTTTCTTTCTACAAAATTTTGCAGAACTATACAACCACTTGAGTGTTTTTCCCTTCACAATATTCTCTTAGGGAGCTAAGCATTCCAAACATTTTTAAAGCTTCTTGTCGGCTTCTAGAATATACCACGTATGATTTTGAATCTCTCCAGTGGTGGCAAATCATTATCCTTCTAAGTTATATCTGATTTTTAGAGACAGACAATGTTATTCAAGGTATCAGAGAACAACATTTGGGTCAGAAGCAAGGTGTGAAGGAGAATCCAAAATATCCAGTTGTATGGTATGATGAGAGCTCTCTAAATGGATGATTTGACAAATAGATAATTACTAGGGGAAACTTTAGGGAATAAAAAATACTCAGAGGAAAAAGAAGCTGCCTTCCCCCCACCCCACCCCCAAAAAAAAACAGAGAGAGAGAGAGAGAAAAGACATCTGCAAAGACCATTATTAATAATTGCTATGGCAGGCGGAAGGAAATAGAGTCAGGCAGGTAGTTCAGTCAGAGAGGCCTCAAATAACTGTTAAGAAAGCTGAGAAATACAGGAGACACTGAAGTCAGACTTGTTTCTGGTAAGAAGTTTTGAAGAATCACAAGCTCAAATTTTACAGGAGGAGAGTGAAATTACAAAAACATAATAAGAATGAATGGTAAATTGTAGTCCATGACCAGGTGAATGGAAAAAACAGAAAACATCTGGATACAATTTGACAGTGAAGAAGAAAGGAGGTTCTTAAGTTGAATGACAATGAAACTCAATTATAACAACAAAAATATTATTCCCCTATTTCTCCCTAAGAATGCAAGGAGGAAGAAAAAAAAATAGAACAATACTAAGAAAACTAACCAGAGCAATTGTCTTAATTGAACAGGTGAGAGAGACAATTATTATTGGAAAGGCTAACAAAGAAGCCTGAAAAGACTGATTTAAAGAAAGATACTGTTGAATGAGTAAAGTCAAGGTTTTATGAGTATAATCCAGAGAACTCCATTTTAATTCCTTGTGTCTATGATGTTTCTAGATCTTGTAACATCATATCAATATTTCTTTTTAAAGTGTGGTTTCCAGAATTTGAAAGCAAATGAATAAAAACATGAGGAAGTGAGAGCACAGCTTCAGACATGGCCTCCAACAAAAACAGTATTCATGTTAAAAGGAAGTTTATAGCCTTTACAAAACAAGATCTACAGTTATACAGACCTTATCTTGGATTTTTGGTCTTTGCAGTATAGTTAGGTGAACATTTAAAATGAGTGGAAATTTTTAAAAATAGTCAGTTTAAAAAGTAGGATAAAAATGATATGAGGAAAGGGAAGCTTGTTAGCTTTGATAATTGGACAATAATTTGATATTAGTTCCTCTAATGTGAGGAAGGAGTAAAATTTGATATTGATTTTATAGAAGGTGGGGAGCAGAGGGAGAAGTAGGTAAGAAAATCAAATTTTTTAATACTTTATGCAACTATTAATGTCTTTACCACTGTTTTACTTCAGCCTTTTCATGGTCCATCAGTTATCTTTTATCCTTTGAATTGTTTAGAAGTGAAAAACATAACTATATATTAATATGCTGCAAGTTAAAAGAAATTGCTTTACAAAATTAAAATATTTGTTAAAAAATGAGAGGATGAATTAAATAGGGCAAACCAATCATTAAATGAGCTTTAGATAAAAAGTTATTAATGATAATATGTACAAAATTGAACATACAACAGGATTCCAAAGGAAGAAACACATAAAACTGATTTTAAAATGTAAATATAAATTTCTATATATATTTGGGCTGGTAATATAATTAGTCAAAATATATTATACTGTCCACACATTGCATAGCCAGAAATAACAACTATAATGACAAATGCTAGAATCACATCAGTGAAATAGGAACTTCATTTCATATTTAAGATACATTTAAATTTCTTTATTCAATACTAGAGAACATTCCGGAGGATATTATGAACATGCACAGTGAAATAATGAAGGTTCTTCAATATACTTATGGAGATGGTGCATAAAAATTTAAGAAGAAATTAAATAACATTATTGCCAGCAGCAAAATCTATTATAGTGCATTGTAAGCTATAAAGACAACTATAAATATATAGTTCAACAGAGATTATTGATAATTTATAAGGAAGTAGAAAGAGTGAATAGGGAAAATTTGTGGAAATTGGAAATTCTAGCCATGTTAGAATAAAAAATTTTGGTGTACAGATTATAGAAAATTCCTACTCATTTATATGTAGTAGATAATATATATAGTGTATAATAATTTTATGTACCCAACAAGAATATAATTAGGAAGTCATAAAGAAAACCCTGAAATAAAAAGGCAACATCACTGAAAGACTTAATGGGAAATAGGAAAAAGGAACAAGATGGTATCATTTTAAAATTTGAAGACACAAGTAATAAAGACCTCTTTCATGTACCTTTTTCCTCACAGGTAATATATCTCTGGGTCTTACAGATCCTGCTTCCTAAATAGTTCTTGAATCGGCACTTCTCAAGATAAGCCATAGTCATGTTCTGACTCTTGGGACGATAGTTGCAACTGAGCTCCAGCTGCTCCCCCCCAGTCTTGTCTCTTTCTATTCTGTTCTCCATGCTGGGAGAGTGAGTGATCTTTTGAAAAAGCAAACACGATCATGTGCTTAGAAATGTTGATTGACTTTATTATGGATCTAAAGGAATATTTTCACTTTATAATATATACTGTGGTATATTTTATATTCAAATTTGAATATGAATTTGTAGAATTTGAGTGAAAATATTGGCTTGACCTCACATTTATATTGAACTTGAATATTTATAGGTTGCTTTCACATTATCTTATTTAATGTTCAGGTCAACACTGTGAATTAATTTAGTTTTAAATTAGTTTTATAATTAGAAAATTGAGTTTAAGGTTGTACAGCTAGCAAGAGGTAAGACTTAAAACTTCTGACTACTACTACATTGTACACTTACATTGTATAGTGTTAGTTTAACTGGTGAAATTGTTACTTAGGGATATAGAAGAGACACTTTTAGATTTCTTGGTTTTCCCAATTTCTATTTGTAACCAGAGGGAACTTGTCTGCACTAGGGAGGTCTTGTGAATATAGCCCAACTGTCTGGCACTGAAAGAAAGGACTGAAAAAAAATCAGCTGGTCTTCCTTTCTTCTTCTTTCAATGTACTATGTACTGGATATAGTTGTTAGATTACAGATTACATTTTAAAATACAGATTTTATATCCAGTTATGCTTTGCAAGTGTGAATAATTATGAGGGTGCCTGCAAGCCACTGTAATAGGTACTTTATGAATTATGTCAATAATTGTATCAGTACAATGCCTGGCGTACAGTTGGTACTTGATAAATATTTTTCTTTGAATGAATTAGGTTGTATTTGTTGCAACTAATTAAAGATTCAACTAAAATGATTTAAATAATAAAGACATTTATCATCGTGTATGACAAGAAATCTGGTATAAGTTCTGTAGCTCAATAAAGTCTTCAGGGAACTGTGTTCTCTCCATCTTTCTGCTTTGCAACCCTCAGCATGTGATTGAATCATGACTATACTCAATAATTGGCTCAGCCGCAACCTACTTTGTTGCTGCTTTTTTGTTTTTTACAACAACAATAATAGCTTCTGTTTATTAAGCACTTCCTTCAGGATTACGTATACACTCTACATATATTTTCCTCTTGTTCTTACCTCACTAGTGTAAGTACAAAACTAACTTCAGTGATATATTAATGAAATGATTTCTTTCCTTCCACTTAAAGAATTTTTTAAAACACTGAGATCAAATTTGTATAACATAAAACTAACCATTTTAAAGTGTACAATTCAGCGGCATTTAGTGCATTCTCTAAGTTGTGCAATCAGCACCTCTATGTAGTTCCAAAACATTTTATCACCCCAAAAGAAAACTCTGTACCCATTAACTAGTTACTTCCTATTCTTCCTTCTCCCACCCCTCCAAGTCCCAGGCAACTACTTTTCTGTTTTCCATCTCTACAGATTTACCTATTCTGGATATTTCATATAAATGTAGTCATACAATATGTGACTTTGTGTCTGGCTTCTTTCACCTAGCATGTTTTTGAGGTTCATCCATGTTGTAGCATGTATGAATATTTCATTCCTTTTTATGACTAATATTCTCTCACACGAATATACCATATTTTATTTATATATTTATCCATTGTTGGTCATTCGAGTTATTTCCATGTGTTGGCTCTTGTGAACAGTGCTGCTATGAACATTTGTGTACAAGTATTTGTTTGAGTACCTCTTTTTTTGGAGATATATATCTCCAAAAGATACACACACACACATACACACCCCTAGATGTAGAATTGCTGGATTATATGGTAATTCTAAGTTTAACTTCTTATATCGTTTTATATTTCTACCAGCAATGTAAGAGAGAGTTTCAATTTCACCATATTCTCA